TATCGTTTCATTCATTCATTTCTTTACCTCCAACCGAAACCCACCCCTACCCGTCCCCTGAACAGCCTTGAGAATGCGAGGAATAACCCTCCTCTATTTGGCAAGGTGGAAGCTCTCCCCCTTCAGTGATGTAAATTGTGTCAATTATGTCGTAAAACACTTATTTACATAAAAGAATTTAAAAAATGATAATACTAGAGTTAAGGGATAGGAACTTGTTATTGCAGTACGAAAATATGTGAGGCATCCCGGTGAATTCAGGCGCTCGTCAAAATGATGAAATCCAAGATATATGGGTATTTTTCTAACAGTTTGGCAATTTTTATCGAATTGTTGTTGTTGTTGTTGTTTGGGTTTTTTTGGTGTTTTTTTTAGCTGAACAGCTTTTATTTCCATTTAATAACACATTTCTGTCAAGATTTAATTGAAAGACGTTGATTAAAGGCACAAAAAAGGTAAACACTCTTAAGCATTGGAAAGTACCAAGCTTTGGCAGCCATTTTCTCCCTTATTCTGAAATCAGGCGACCCCACTTCCTTCAACCGCTAGTATCTTGATTTCTATTACAGATAGATGGGAATTTTTTAATCAAGCCATAGATAAATGAACAAGCTTTAAGATGACACCAATAACTCTACATGCCCAAAAATTGGCGAGCGCCTGATTCCACCACATCGTGACACATATTTAAGTTTACAGCCTCTTTTTGCGTATGCTGTTTTGACACTTTTCATTTGAGGATGTCTCACTCTCTTACTGAGTTTATATTTTCTTCTTTTGTTTTTTCCAGAACTTTGCCGTGCATCTTTCCATCCCGAGAAAAAGTAGATTAGAGGCCCAGATAGACGAGGAGGAGGAGCTCGGCAAGGACGGATCTCCTCCCGTTCTCACCAGCGATGCTCCCGGCAACAACACGGATGTTTCTGGAAATGAAGATAACATAACCCTGTACAACAGCACCTCTCTGGGGAATGACTCGGCGTTCATCCTGCCTCCAGAGTCCTACCCGTCGTCCTCTGTTGACAGTCCGTCGTCGTCTGTTGACAGTCTGTCTTCCAGCGCCATCTCGCCCACAGACCAGCCGTCTGCGGACGATTCGGATAATCCGTCAGCGCCTTTAGGAATTTTCCCACCGCAGGCCATCAACCTCACGTCGAAGCACTTTCTGAATTTCCCTTCGCTGAACCTGTCCTCGAAGGATTTGCTGCAGCCGTTCGCCCGTCGGTTTGGTGCTCTGACGGCTACCACCTCCGCTGTGCCTCCCCCTCCCTCCAACGCGTACGTGATTCTCTTCAGAAATGGCCACCTGTTCCCCGTGATCAAGTCAGATCTGAGTGACCCTGCTTTCCAAAAGGGTACCTGGGCCATTGTCACACCCGTCATAGCCATTTCCTTGGGTGAGTAGCGCACTTCTTTCTTCTTCTCATATCATATTTCTACACTGCTTGGATGTTCTCAGAAATATATTGTCGTAGTGGGTGGTTGGTGGGTGCTCTGGTGTGGTTTGCTCCTTCTTTCCTATCAAACATCTATCGTCCTTATCTCCCCTCCTTCTTTTTTGTGTTTGTTACTCTCTTGAAACACCTCTAATCTCCTGCACTCATATATGACCTTAGTGTGTTGCAAGTGCCGTAAAACACTTACTAAAAAAATATATTGTCATGGTATTTTCCTGTCTCCTAGTCTACATTTGTTCAAGCTCTCTACATAACATGTACACTAAATTTTGTGTTCTTGAGTGTTGCTTGAATGACCAATTTCATTATTACTGTAAAGTGCCTAGAGTTCAATTGGCCAGTGGGCGCTATAGAAGTCTAATTTTCAGTATTATTCCCTATCTGTCGTGGAAGGGAAAGAAATCAAATGAGGTAGTTCTTGATGAAGCCCACGTGGGACGCTCAATGTTAAAAACAATCAGGAAACGACAAATGCTGTTTTTGAGACACCTGAATAGACATAAGGGTCTTGAACATCTAGCTCTCACTGGCATAATTGAAGGCAAGCGAGGCAGGGGTAGGCTCAGAGCAACCTACTTGGGGACCCTGAACAAGTTGGTAATAGGGAAAGATCAGGGAAACGTTAGCCGTTAGCTTTTTTTAAGAGCTTTCGAGCAAAGGAATGAATGGAGAACCATGATTACCAATGTCTGTCACAGATCTGGCTTTGGATGATGATGATTATGATGATTCCCTACCGGAGAAGACTGCGCCCCCCCCC